AGAAAAGTATAAGAACGAGGTATAAAAAGTAAAGCCATATTAATATGCTGAGTAAAAGGCTCAAGTCAACAACTTCTGATATTGCCAGTCCTATGGATAACCCAGTACTATTATGGACTACTGGACTACATTGGATTATTTTGCTGAATTCATGCACCTACAATATTTAAATGGCAATGGAATACTCTTCTTTTACAAAACTAAACAAAAAAAGGGGATACAAATGAAGGACCATTTTGTATCTGTGTATACAAAATACGATAGATATACAGCTACTTTCTCTTAATTCAATGAGAAGAAAGATTTATACTAATAGTATTTGGATAGGATATCATGTCTGCATATTGTACTATGAGTAACCTCTAAGAAGATAACAATATTCAATGTATTAATTACTGAAACTGTCCTATTAATCAGTTCTGAAACTGTCTCATTGCTGTTTCTCTCATTAGTTTTTTAAAATTAATTTAAAAAATTTTAAAAAAATAATAAATAAATGTAAAAAAAATAAAAGCAAATAGAAAGTTGGGTAACAGAAAATTCAAAACACCCTATAAAAAAGACAATTGTTTCAAGTGGGAGACAGCACTCATGCTGACCCTATAGACTAGACACACTTCAGGGAAGAAAGCAAAGAAAACACAGGAAACCAAAGATGCAAGGCTGATCATAGTTCATATAAATGTGTACCCTGTCATATAACCTTCCTTTTATCACTAAATATGAACTTCTGGGTAAGAAAGTTGATACCCATGAGCCAAAATTTATATCCCTGTGATATGTGCTTTTGTAAGTTACATTATAGTCATAGTATTTTAATGTTGCATTCATTTTCACAGTGCAAGGTTCTAAAGAGAATTGTAATATATATTTGAGCCACTAGATGGCAGTATGTTGCTTTCTAAGACAATACCTTTCATTGCAATGCCTAAAATCAAATAAATACTTAAGGTTCTCCAGGTAACACAGAAGGAAAGACTAACATACCTAATCACTCATATAGAGGCCATAACTAGCTATAAATTAAAAACAATAATATTTCTATAGTTCTTTCTACAGCAGCCTAGCAGATGCAGGAAAATAAGAGCCTTGGCCAAAGGAACCTGCCTTCCACTGATGACAGAGGACTCTATATTTCTTTTAATTACCCCTCATAAAGACACTCAGATTTCCAGACATGCTTCAGAGATTGGCAAGACAAACAGGTTAAGTGTGTTTGAAGTAAGAAAGAATTTTGAGGGGGAATAATTTTTTATTGTAATAAAATTTCAAATTTAAGCATCAATTGTATATTTTGGTCGCACTCAACAAGCAGTATACACTAAATATAAATGACTTTCTTTTGTTTCTTTGTTCTTTCTTTCTCTCCCTCTTCCTTAAATGCTGGGATTACAGGCCTGTGCCACTACACTTGCCCAGTCCATATGTCTTTTCATATGTCCACATACCTCAATAGTGTGACCTTTTTTATAAAAGGGCGGCATGATGAGATTAGATGTTCCCTATGGCCCCCTCCAATTCTGAGTTTTCTATGATTAAAATGAACACTGTTAGAATGTCAGTATCAATAAGGAAAACTGTCCTGATAAAGGCTGAGCAATTGTATCTATGTGGAGAAATGTATCCTCCTTGCCCTAAACACTTCCATTCCCTTTGTTTCTCGTATCTGAATCCCCTCTCACCACTTAGTATAGGACTTTAACTCTCAAACTTCCTACACACACCTCCTGATACTTTCCTATCCTGGAGTTGATTTAAAATACACACAAGGATTTTCATCATTCATATATACATCATCAGAATTTCTAATTTGTGTGCTAGTGTCCTCTTCTCTTCCCCTGATGGCCAGAATCTCTGACAGTAAAAGTAGAAGCTTCCTGCTGCTAGCATCTCACCTGCATTGAGTGGCAGGAAGTTGCTATCTGTGGATATAGAAGTTCCAGGAGCTAGTTCACCAGAAACCCTCCCCTAGTTAATAGTGGAGAAAATTTGAGGCATCCAACTCTACACTCTCACCCTCAGAAATGGGTAACCAGCATTACCTAGGAAAGACATCTGCATGGAAGTGGCATTTCTAAAGCGACTGCACCTAGATTTGAATTTGTCTGGGAAAAAGATAAGAAATTAGCCTTCCAGGCTGGGAAGATAGCTCAGCAGTCTAAAGCACCTGCTTAGCCAAGCTTAGGCAAACACAAGGGACTGTGGTTCAATCCTCAGCACCACATGCTGTGCCAGCCCTATCCTCAGAAGAAAAAAAAAAAAAGAATTTAGCTTCCCTCCTCCAACCATGCATTTTATATTTAAAAAGAAGTTAAAGTCTAAGGATAAAGTGAATAACGCAAACTTTAAAGACTTATGAACGATAAAAATTACTCTAATTCAAATGATAATAATAAAAGACTGAAATATTAAAGTTTTGTCAATACTTTATGAAATATTTTGAAAGGCACTATAAATAATGTGCCATTTGAGAAGTATTTGTCATAGTACTCTGTATAATCTTAAAAAAATCTTAAGATGTATATCACTAATTACTGCCTCTATTCATTTTTGTCAACCTCAATAGCTACATATAGGGCTTAGTTGACTCACATGAAATTTCTAAAATATGACCACTTTTGACCTGCAAAATGAAAATTTTGTATAGCTCAACCTAGTAATAGCCACTATTTAAATACAGTTTTCTGGGGCCAAGGAGATTACTCAGTGGCATAGTGCATGCCTGGCAAGCACAAAGTCCTGAGTATGGTTCCCGACACCAAAAAAAATGACTACATAAATAAATAAACAAACAAACAAATAAATAAATAAATAGATATTCATGAAATAGAGTAAATAAAAACTATCTCATTTTAAAATATTTTGAAAACACAAACCATAGACACACATAAAGCATAAAGCCCACAGATACTGTGCAACTAGTAGCTTTTAAAAAATCCTGTCTTAAATTGTAAATTGTAGTCAGCATATTAAATGTACTTAATCAGTAATATTCCCTAGTAGATGATTAAGAATACTGAGAATTATCAGAGCCTAGACTGGGTATGGTGGCACGCGCCTGTAATCTCAGAACTTGGGAGGCTGAAACAGGAGGATCACAACAAGTCGAATCTGTGTAGTGAGACATTACAGACCCTGTACTAAATACATAATAAATAAATAAATAAATAAATAAATAGAATTAACAGAGCCTACGGATGGCACTGCAACATCTGATTATGAGATCAAACTTCATAGTAACTCATCGATTATAATTTCACCAGCTTCAAATAAAGATGTATCAGCAACCTGGAAGGGTTAATTAATTAGGTATACAACCTTATTTTTTGTTTAAAAAAAGAGCAGTATCAGTTCATTTTTTTGTTGGAATGACGCTGAGATTGATCTTTCCAGGAGCCAGATGGTAAAGTCAGACTTAGATAATATACAGAAACTGTACTTGATGATAAAATCATTTCATCCTAAATTTCATTATCCTCTTTTTTCATATATTCCACTTTCTTTGGGAGCACCTGAGTCTTAATATTATACACAGTCAAATTAGGTATAGGCAGTGAGACAAGGCAAGGCTTTTCAAATGACTCAGTGTAGAAGATAAAAATATATTAGAACTTTGGCTGGAGGTGCATTTTTTGAAAATCAGGTGTCAAGACAAAGATGGAATTACTGGACCTAAAGTATATCCCCAAGTAATACAATAATGACATTCTAAATAGGCATCAGTCATCTGGTTGGGAAGCTCAGGGCCTCCTAATCCATCCCTTCCAGAAAAGGTTCTCGTACTTTCCATGTGCACTTGCTTGCTTCCTCGTTGGATCAATATTACCTAAGCAGCTATACTTGTACTTTCATTGTTTTTGTCCCACCTTGTACCTACTTCGTGAGTTTGTACCCACTTTGTGATTTTGTTCTATAAAACTTTCTTTAAGAAATGGTTTGTAGGCAACCCACTCTTCAAGGCCCCTCCCATCTCTCTCAGGACCTCTCTTTTCCTCAAAGAAATTTCATACCTTTGCCATTCCTCAGAATCCAGTCTCTGATTTTGGGGAACATGAACTCGATGCATCAGACATCTAGCAGGTTAGGATTTAGAATATTGCCCCATATCCATTGGAGCCCTATATCACTATAGGTCCTTACTTTGCCCCAATCTAGTAAGATCTGAAACTTAAAATTAATGCTCCTTAGGAAACAGAAAAAATTGACAATTTGAGGACAAGACCACACTATTCAGAAAAGACTTCCTACTTGTCATTTCTCAACTGATAAAACAAAAGTTCTTTCTTTAAAAATTCTCTATAATGGTTCAATAGTGTCTCTCCATTCTATTCTAAATTAGTGATACCAGACGTGTTCAGTAACATATATTCTACTTATCATCAACCTGTTATGTCATGCCTTAAAATAAAACCTTTTTTGATTTTTAGCATTCAATCTTTCTATTAATTCAGATAAAAGAATTTCCCTTGAATTTCAGTTCCTTTATAATAATGTTAGCTGCTTTACCACAACTTTAGTTCCTCCAGAATAATTTACTGAGCACCTGCCTACTCCATGCACCCCTTTTCTTATATCTCTTTTTCACAATGGGGCTAGGCAATTTCCTCAAGCAGAAGTGCATACTCAGGAGGCCATGCAGAGAACAAAACTATTTGAAATGAGGGAACCCAAAAGACAATTGGTATCATAAAATCTTTTTTCTCTCTGGGATGGTCACAAAAAGATTGTTCTCATTTTAGGTCACACCGCTGTGTATCAACACTGACTTCTTAAAGGCAAAGGCAATAACAAAAATGTTCAACTTCTAACTGGTTAAAACTTTTGGTGGTCTCCACTTTGGCTAGACTAGTTCAACAAATAGGCTAAGAGGGGCCTGTAAGACATGCAAGTCAATGAAATTCACAGTACACTTTTGTCATGAGAATTAAGTCAAATTCTATCTCATATTCTATCCAAGAAATTGTATTCCTCTAAGTAGGAACCCAGAAAGGCAGACTCACAGTTTACAAAGTCCCCTTGAAGCTGCAGAATCTGAGGAACTGGCATTGTGAGAACAACAAAATCAAACTGCTCCGGGGAGCCCGTTTCCTTGAAGACTTCCCATTTGCCATTTCTCAGGTTGATCTGAGTCACACAATGTCTGAAGGAGACTTCTGCACCTGCTCCAAAAAACAAATCATGTTCAAATTATGAGTCAAGGAATAAAGAACTGTCATAAACTGGATCCATTCATGTGAAAAAAAAATGATCACATGAACTGATCAAATTGTCTTCTACAGTCTCTAAAGTTATCTTTACTTTCTTTCTAATTTAGTGGCAATTTCTCTTTGAATTTTAGTTCAAAGCTCCCTAAAGCTTCACTATCTCCCCTGGCAAACTGGGACCTTTTGATCAATGTTGCTCTGAATGAAGAAGCACAACAATTGATGATAATAATAGAAACAGTAACCATAGCTATCTTACACTAATAAACTAAGTGGCAGATACTTGATATATATCTTACCAATTTATCTCACAGATAAAGAATTATGATATTGAAAAATATCTGGTGATAGTTTAGATTTATGTTCAGCTGACTGTAAAGTTCATACTCTTTGCAGAGCAATTCTACATACACTTAGGGGCCAGTCAAATAGCTCAGCGGATTAAAGCACCTGCAAGCAGGCATAGGGGCCGGGGGTTCAATCCCTGGGCCTGCCATGTCAGCCCCACCCCCGGAATGCGCTGAGATGGCAATTGAGACTGGGGGTGGTGGCATGCGCCTAAATCCCAGCACTTGGGAGGCTGTAAACAGGTGGATCACTCCAAGTCCGATCTAGTAGTGAGACCTTGAACACCCTGTAGACTCTTCCCTAAAATACAGGAAAAAAAATTCAACATACATTCAGTAAAGGTGTTAGCAATTAATTCCTTTTCATAGGATCAAGAAAAGCAATATTTCCCATTAAAAGAACTAATATCTCGTAGGACCCTTTAAAAAGAGTCTACATAAGAAAAACACAAATCCTAACTGATAAATCAATACCTTAATAGAAGAAACAAAACTAAGAGAAACACTGAATACATTCTCACATTTTCCTTATTAGTATTTATAGTAAGGGTATTTTAACTATGTGCTCAAATAACTTTATAATTACCTTCCCTTTTAAGATCTAAAGCCTATCAGTCACAAATTATGACTATTTTGTTTCTATAAATAGTAAACAGGCTCAGTTATTGGCATATACTACATATTTAACTAAATTTGTTTTAAAGGAATAAATTAGAAATCATAAACTTGAAAAAAGCACAGCTGGATCATTAAGTCTCCTTAGTACACTAATATCTCAAATTTTAGTCTATAAAATTGTGATATAAAAACAAGTTTACTTTTATTCAGCCTCATGCATAAAAGAAAATAAATGATAGAATGAGGAATATAAAAGCACAATAAAAGATGCTGTACATCACTCTGGGCCATTTATGTCTTTGGACACTAAAACTCCAGTCCTACCTCCTCCATTTAACTTCTCTTCTGCAGCTACCCTCCCTGAATATGATTCTTCCTGTTCATGATGTCCTCCAACCATCACTGCCTTTGCTACTCATACTGACATTGATTCAAAGTATCTTCATGTTTTAGCTGTGACTTATCTAATATTACTCCAGGATCTTCATGTCAGGTCCCCAGATCTCAAATACCTTTATCTCCTTCCTTTTTTCTTGCATAATGGTATAGAGTAGCATGCATTCAAAGTTTTTAAATCAAATGTAAATATTAGAATAACATGGTTCTATCTGGGCTAACAGATCAACCTTTGCATCAATGAGCATCATTCTGTTCCAAGATTAAAGCAAGGGCTTGAAAGCCATGTTCCAACTTGCCCAAGGGATTTACATTTGGAGAAGATACAAAATAATTCACCACTTTCAACTCATATTCACTGTCTCTTCTACTCTAACCAAAGAAGCTTTGCTTTGGCCTATTTTATTTATTTAGGACATCTCCTTCCCTTTATCTCATTTAGTCCATAGTATTGTCCCATACTTCAATTAAATCTACTCATTCCTTTTTATTTATAGTTCCACTCACAAAAATACTCCTTTGCAAAGAGCATTATGCTCTTATTGCTGCAGATACATTGAAGTCCACTGGCCTAGATATTTTCCATACTTTAGCCAAATGTCTTCGAAATGAGACCTAATGGCCACACGGTGTTCTGGCCACATCAGTTGTTCTTTAAATGTGGACTCCAGATCATCAGCACCAGCAGCAGTTGGTGGGTTGTTGAATCATATGGAATCATACTAAATCAGAAACTCTAGGCATTAGGCCCAGTAATCCACATCTAATAAGCCTCTCAGAGACACTTGCACCATGCAGGCCAATATGTGAGAATCATCGACATGGCTAGACAGACTCAGATCTAGTACCATGACAAAAACTGCACACACACACACACACACCATCACCCAAAAGGTATTTAATAAAAGGTTTGGGGAAATGGTGTAGGTGCTCTGACTAACCAATAATTTTTCCTTTCTAGCTATTAGGATTAAAGTTTTTGGAAAGAGGTATTTCCTTGTGAAAGTAATTAATAATTCTTATGGAAGATCATGTGTTAAAATTTAAAGGCCCAGGAAACTTTCTTTTTAAAAGAGAAAATATAAATTCTCTCAGGTCACTTTGACCATGAACCAACTACATGCATAAAACCCTTCAATGGCTTCCTAGTATACTTGAAGTGTACAAACAAACTTTAATGCTACTTGCCAAACCTCTTATATCTACTTCTGCCTTACTGTGTACTTCATCTCTTATCACTTGTCCTTCATTCACTACTTTTCAGTCCTTGAAAACTCTTGAAACCTCCTCCTGCTTCAGGAAAGCTCCAACTTAATGCACCCATTGCATGGAACTCTCAACCCTCGGCTCTTAGCCCTGTTTACTCATGTTTATTTTGCAGGTATTCACAGAATGTCGGTCCCTTAAGGATAGTTTCCCTAGCTCATCTTGCTCTCATTCCTTGAATACCTACATTGGCTCAGGTCTGCTCTGTTACTGCTCTCTCACAATGCCTCACTGTCCCTTCCTAGTAATTGTTAGAAATCCTGTTATTACATGTACAATTAATATAGTGTCTCCACCATCCACCCACTACACAGAAGCAGGGACTATGTCTCTCGTTTGCCAGTGTTGCCCCAGTACATTATATTTAATAAGGATTTGAAAGTCTGCAAATAGATTTTAAGGTACAATAAGGCTAATGTTTAAACATTTTATTAAAGGCAAATGTGATTCTACTATGTATTATTCAATTCTTAATTCCCAGCATTCCTCCATTTTAAGAAGGAAATCCAAACTAGTTTTCTTCCTACAATCTCCCAAAAATAGGGTTTAGCAAGCAGTTGCTGGAACTGCTAAGATGGCACCTAAAAAGGTGTGAACAATGTCTAATTAAATGCACTGTTTAAGATAAATAAATCATATTTAACCACCATATGTGTGTGACCCTCTAGCTTGTCCCAAGAGGACATTACTGTGAATGTGTGCCACAATTATCTGCCTTGGAGAAATTCTAGGAACCACACAGGCTTGCTTCCCCTACATCAATTTCAAAAGGAGAAAGGGAGAGAATGATAAGACTAAATATTACCAGGCAAATCACTCTAGTTGATAGCATTCATACATAACACCATTTATTGTAATAAACTGATCCTCTCCACTTTGACAAGTAATAGTAAAAGTGTTCACGTTCCAGATTGTTAGTCAATATACTGTAAAAGATAGATGTCTAGGTTATTTTTCTCTCATTGCTAGAACCACCCGACACCCAAAATTAAGGAAGGGAAGGTTCATTTAGCTCACAGTCAGTGTAGATTTCACTGCATACTCAGCTGGCTTCAAGGCAGAGTGACACATGGCAGAGTTCATGGCAACAGAAGACAGCACAGAGCAAAAGGGGCTGCAGCAGCTGTGGCAGCTAGCAAACCTCTCTCTCTCCCTTATATTGTATGCAGATTGCCCACCCCAGGGTGGGTGCAGCACTCACACCCATAATCCCCAAATTGGATAGTGAATTAATGACAAACTCTAAAAGCCTGCCCCAATGACTGCATGAGGCTTTGGGGGCACAACTAGACACAAACCACAACATTCCATCCCTGGCCACCCAAAGACTCATGCACATCCCTTTATGCAAAAGGCACTTAGTCTATCTGCAAGACTTTCCAAAGTCCTAACAGTTTCAGCAATGTGCCCCTGAGTGGGAAGTATGTGAAGTTATGAGTGAGAAACCTATTCAGTTGAAACTTTAGAAGTCTGAAAAAGCCAACAATGTAGATTGTCTAAGGAAAGCTGCAAAAAGGGAGCAAAGTTAGCCCCTGAGAAAAGTCATGAGAGCTATCAGCAGAAGGGCCATAGGGGTAGAGCCGTGCCAGGCTTTTGGAGCTCACAACTCATTACAGATTGCTTCAGATGTTGAATATGGAACTACAGGTCTTAATGTTTGCTTTGTGGGATCTAAGACTTGTCTTGGTCCCAATGGTTTGTATACTGCTGTGTATACCTTTTGGAATGGTAATGTTTATCTTGTGCCTTTGAATGTTGGAAGTGTTCAACTTTTCATTTCTATAGGGCTCACAGCTAAGAGTTTGCCTTAGATCTTGAAGGAGACTTGGGATTTGGACTTTTCATCATTGCTGAAACTTAGTACTTTGCCAAGTCTTGCAGATAAGTGCCTTTTGCATAAATGGATGTGCATGAGTCTTTATAGACTTAATAATGATGCTTAATGATAGTTAAACCTATGGTATAATGTTGAAAGTGTGAAATGTTAATAAGCATGTCTTTGTATCTGAAGACCGGTTTAAAGAAATATGTGTAGTTGCCAAGCTGCTAAGGGGTGGATTGTGGTGGTTGATACATTGTATCAACTTAAAGAGGGATGGAGGCGCCTCCCTGAGGTGTTCAGGGCCCGCCCTAGAGTGACTCAGTACAAAAAGGGTATATAAAGAGTCTGACAAGGATTAAGAATGCCACTTCCTCAGAGGAGCTTGATCTTCACAGCTGTGGCACTTCCTCTAAGGAGTTCACAGTCAGCGTGGAAGAAAGAGAGGCTTGCTAGATGCCCCAGTGGCTGCTTCTCCCTTTGCTGTTTGTTGTTTTCTGCAACCATGAACTGCTGCCCTCCAGTCTACTCTGGAGCCAGCAGAGTGCAAACTGAACCCTCCACAAACTGTGAGCTAAATAAACCTTTCCTTCCTTAATTTTGGGTGTTGGTTATTTTGTCCCAGAAAAAATGAAAAGTAACTGAGTACCTTTGTATATAGCTTCCTAAAGTTGTAGGATACTTGCTGGTCCATGGGCAACAGAAGAAGTGCTGTGTTCAGGGAAATGAACTTGATTTTCATGAAGTGATACTCAAGAGTCCATGTCACCCACCAAGGGATTATCCCTCAGAAAATGGCATCTTTCTGACAGATGGCTGTCAGAGAGACATTTCTTAATGGTGAGTAATGTAGCTAATCCATGAACCACTGCCTGTGACTCAGGCTTTCTCAATAGCCCTCCACATGACAGGAAGTCTGGCCCTTTTCATGTTCTGTTCTTTCAGTGCACAAGGAATGGGAATGGTACATCTATAGTAGGTTAATTTTCAGATCCACACTGCTGTTCACATGTAGTAAAAGCACTGATCTGTCTTTCATGGGTTGTACCCCAGCAGTGCCTTCTACATGATATAGATTCTGTTTTCATTCATCCCTGTTACATTTCACAGTTAAACACTTGCTGAATAATGTATCCCTCTGCCTTCATGAATTTCCTATAAGCTTCTGCAGCAGCTTTGGCAGAAACAGAAGCCTCACCATGTCTTATACTATGAATACCACTTTTCTTGGAGAATTTATCAAACCAAACCCTACAGGCTTTAAATTCATTTGTTACACTTGTAAAAAGACTTTCTTACAGTAAACCATGCAATTTCCTGCCTTTTTCACAGACTATAGCTTCATTAACACTGTCACCTGCCACTGCTTTTCATTCAACCACACTAACAAAGTTTTCCCAAATCTTCCAGCACTGGTGTCCTCTGCTTGGTCAACACTGCTACTCCTTCTGCCACATCAGCTCCTTTGATGGCATCTTTACTCTTCAAAATAGTTAAGACTGTTTGACATCTTATAGTTAGAGTCCAGATAAGTCACATGAATAGTGCATTAATTTTCTTTTTATAATTTTTTCAATGCAATGGTTATTGTCTTCAAAACCTTCTTATCATTTTTGTTCCATACTTCTTGCAATTATTGCTCTGCATATTCTGGTTTCTTTTATTACCATTCTGTACATTCTTGTTACCTTCATTTCCTCTCTGAACTTTCTTTTTACCACCATGATTACTATGCACTTTCACTGGGGCCATACTGTATTGAATAATACTGTACAAGACCTTATGTGCTAAAATCTGCCAATCTTGCAGATTCTAGCAATTTTCTAGGTTCCATGGTTCCCAACAAGAAACCATAAGGACATTGGGGTAAAGAGTTCTTGAACAAAAATCAAATTGTATGAGAAATACTTCAAAGAATCAACAACTGGGATCTCAACTTTTTAAAAGGTTCTGCACATCAAAAAAAAAAAAAAATCACCAACAGAGTAAAAAGAAAATCCACAAAGTGAGAAACAATTATAGGAACTGTCCATCAGACAAAAGACTCCTATCTAGAACATACAAAGAATTTGAAAAAATCAGGCCGCCAAAATTCAAAGACCCAATTCAAAATGGGCATCTGAGATGAATATAGACTTCACAAATGAAGAGATACAAATGGCTTCATTCAAGAAATGAACATTAAAATGATACTGACATACCATCTTACACCAGAAAGAATGACTGTCATCAAGAAGTCAACCAATAAGAAATGCTGGACAAGCTGTGGAGAAAATGGAACCCCTCTCCACTGTTGGTAGGAGTGCTGGCTGGTATGACCATTATGGAAATCAATATAGAGATTCCTCAAAAAGCTAGAATTGGAGGTCCTGTTCAAGCCAGCTATTCCCCTCCTGGGTATTTTTCCAAAAGAACTAAAATCATCATACCACAGCAATATATGTGCACCCCTGTTTATAGATGTGCAATTTGTCACAGTTAAATCTTGGAAACAACCCAAATGCCCATTGACTGAGGAATGGATAAAAAAGATATGGTATTTTTACACAATGGAGTATTATTTAGCTATAAAAAGGATAAATTCAAGGCTTTTGTAGATAAATGGATCCAGCTAGAGTCTATATTGGTAAGTGAAATAAATCAGAACCACATATGCAAACATCGTATAATCTCACTAGTGTGAGAACTTGAAAGAGTAATGAAAATCTAAAAGGTACAACAGATTCTGTGAAAAAGAAATAAATTGTTCAATGGGAAGGAAAAACTGTTGAGGCAAACGACAAACATAAGAAGGGAAGAAGATATATTTGGGTACATATGTAGAATAGTTTGGATAATTTTATTGTCAATTTCTGCTGATCTTTTGAAAGGAGCAGTTAATGCTTAATTTTTTTTACTCTGATTTTCTTCTCTTTTGAAATTCTTATAACTTCTTTTTACTGTTTGTTTTTTTTTTAAATGAATCTTACATGTTTATATCTGGTAATGTGAACAACTAATGTGAAGACAGCATCATGTAATACAGCAATGATTACTGAATTCCTGTTATTTTGTTTAGTGAAATCTTGTATCATTTCTAACACTGTTTTTTTCTTTAAATTTATATCTCTATTTTATATCTTTAAAAATAAAAAATATGGTATCTCTCTATTATTTATAATATCTAATACAAAGTAAATGCTAAATACTTGTTAAGGTGTAATGTTTAGGGAAAAATCCAAAGAAAAATGTCTATACAGATTTATAACACATGCAACCACCATAGGTCTAACTATGTAGCACAAAAATGAGAGACAAGGCAAACAATGCTTAAACAAAGATTGCTAAAGAGAGACTCAGAATCTCTAAAATGTGAAAGGCTACATGCAACAAGATTGCTTATATACAACTTTATTTTCATAGTATATAGAAAATTCATTTTCTGCTTCTGGAATTTTTTTTCAGTAGTTTTTGTTATTGGTTACATCCATAGATACAGAATCCATGGATATGCAAAACTAACAATATATTTCATTGGTTTGGTTTCTCTAGAGAATTCTAAAAAGCCATCATAGACTGACTCTTGAATAGAGAAAAGGTCTAACCCAGTATGGTATTGTGTACAATATCAATCTCACTGATGTCTCTTATGACCAGTAATAAGGGTTCTTGGGTTTCTCAATAAGTAACATTTGATGAGGAAGACCAAAATAGCAATCATTTTAGAAACATCTTATGAAACAAAACAAATGCTCTACCTACACCTTCCCCCCCGTGAATTTTGAGTTGGATAATTAACTGAATTGTGATTTTTCAAAAACTCTTTTCTATTTTAAAAAGAAATAAGCTATCAGCTAAAAATAGTGCTATTTTGTTGTTTTAAAAGGCCTATTTTCAACATACTCATAAAATGTAAGGAACAAAGCAAAATGCACAAAGATCATGAACAAGATAGTCACACAAAAAAATAAAAAGATCTAGTTAACAAAAGATTCAATCTCATAACTAAGAAAATACGAAGAGGGGTGGGCCAGAGAGCTTAGTGGACTAAAGCACCTGCTTAGGCAGAGTGCAGAGCCTGGGGTTCCATGCCAAGCAGCACAAGCTTTGCCAGCCCTCCCCAGGGGCACACTGACACATCGACTGAGACTGGGTGTGGTGGTGCGCACCTGTAATCCCAGCGCTTGGAAGGCTGAAAACAGGAGGATCACTACGAGTCCAATCTACATAGTGAGAGCCTGTAGACCCTGCACTAAATACATTTAAAAAAAGAAAAAAATCAAAGAAATATCATCTTCAACCTATGATATTTAGAAAAATTATAAACTTCCCTAACATCCACATAAGGTAAAGAGACATTCTCACTCACTTGTGATGAGATTTTCTTTAAAAGTTTTATGTTGTATAACCAAATTAAATTAAAAAATGTGCATACTGCCATAGGTATTCTGATATTTCATTCTACAAAAATATGTTAAGATTGACATGGGGTACTGTTTGTATAACCAAAAACTAAAATCATCTCCCACACCCAAACAGCTTTACCACAATAAATATTCAGCAACAGTTACATAAACAATTATACATACATACCATATATTACTGGAGCGCCATTTTTTAAAAAAACATAGACTTCATACAAAAGAAGACAAAAGATATAAAACAAGGCATACAATAATTTCTGTAAAATATTCCTTTTTATATCTTTTAAGTAAATAAATATAAATATGTATTACTAGTGAATAGAGGTAGTCATATAGTTCAATAGATAAACTCATAAATATTTTTCTGGAAACGCAGTCTAGAAATTTATCACTGATTACTCTGGAGGAAGAGAGACTAGTTTTTGAGTGGAAAACAGAATATATCGTCTTTGAAACGTCCTATATGTTATTAATGTTTAATTACATGTATAATTTATTTTTAAAATGCTATTCTGAAAGAAAGCAGAGAAAATTCCATTCTCACCTGATTGTTTCAGGTAGTGCTTAACAACTGAAGAAATTCCTTGAGGGGCCACAAAGTTACAGTCTCCTTCTTTCATTACCATTCCTTCAATAGGAGAGACCAGAGGCTTCAAAATACCATGAGCTAACAGTTCATCATAAAAACTAAAAAAAAAAAAAAATGATAAGTACTATAATATGAACATATAATATACATATATAAATACAATCATAAATTTAATAGTGCATACTATGATTAGCTCTTTAACATCCTGTTCTCTAAGAACTTTTACAGATATTTCCAGATCATAACTAGAAAACTTCATATGGTTAATGTGTATTCTGTGTTAAATAAAACTTAACTCGGTTGAATAATAGAAACATTTTGAGAATTAATAGGTCTTCTGTTGACATCAACCAAAGGCCTACTTTTTCCATGTAACTCAAAATTTAAGTCAAAGAAAATAAATTATTTAATGCACCAAGTTTAAACTTGGTTAAGAAGACTAACTGTCCCTGGCAGTTATTTGTCCTCTTTTCAAAACGATCAGTAATTAAAATCTATTGAGCGTTCTATGTGTTTCATACACATTCTCATCTAATCTTTCCAACAACCCTGAGGGGAAGGAATTATAGTTTCCTACTTCACTCAGGATAACAACGGTAGTATCATATGGGCTACTGGACTCTTTTAGAATATTTTGCTGAGTTTACACACCTATGATATTCAAATAACGGAACTTAACAAAAAAAGGGGATACAGATGAACGTCCATTTTGTATCTGTGTATTCAAAGTGGTTCGGATAGATACATAGTTACATTCTCTTAATGAATAGAGGAATTTGTTCTAATAGTGTTTGTAAATAGGATATCATGTCCGCATCTTGTACAGCAAATAACCACCAGGAAGAGAGTATGCAATGTGTTAATTATGGAAACTGTCCTACCAATTTGGTTTGAAACTGTCTCATTGCTGTTTGTTTAAAATAAAATTATGGAAAAAATAATAATTTCAACGAAAGACAAAGTTTTAAACTGTGTTGAAAAGGCCATCTTTAAACACCGTACAACTTCCAAGACCGACTCTGTCCCAGGAACGGACTCACGTTTGGTGTCTTGTGGCGTACTGAGGCGTGCGGGTCACGTACTGGGCGCCCAAGTCGGCGGTGCAGCGCGGGTCCTGAGGGCAGCGGGCCGTGCTCATTCTCCCCCCTGGGGAAATTCACAGGCACGTCTGCGCGCGAGCGAGCCTCGGGGGACTATACCGTTCCCGCCTCTCCGTCCCCGCAATTGGTTTTCACAATTACACTGAGCAAAGGCTTCAAACTGAAGTCTCCCTCACCTAACACTGACAGGAAGCAATTAACAGAGACAACTCACTGCCTGTGAAGGAAACTGGAAGGGAATGAGAGCGGGAGGGAGAACAGGCTCAGGAACAGCGCCGCGCGCCGCACACTGCTCCGGGGACACATAATTTGCTTGTACAAAAGGCGCTCGTGAACGGCTAAAATGATGGCAGACGCGCCAGAAGGCCCGCGTCAACCGAGGCGTTTTCGCGCTAAATTCACAGCAAGACGGAAGGCTGTAAACTGAGGCTTGGGAAGGCCTCGCGCAGGCGCACACTGTATTCTGAAACTGCCAAGAGCAGATGCTCGGGAGCAGACACCCCGGGACCGGCGGGCGCCCGGCCGCCTCCTGCCCAGCGCAGCCTCCCCCAGCCCAGCCGCCGTCCGCACCCCCCGCCCCCTTCAGGAGCGCCCGGCTCGGAAGCCCCCGGTCACGTGGCGACGGCGCCCACTGCGCATGAGCGGGCCGGCGCGTGCCGTCAGGCGACCCTCAGACCCGTCGGGTGTGGGCCCAGGCGTCTTGGAGGGTCGGGCCTCGCGGGCCGCTTCGGTCCTGGTGGTCGGACAACGCACCTGGCTGCCCCGCCATGTCCCACACGGCGAGGTAGAGAGGGCCGGACACCTCCTTTCTCAGCAGCGCGGCGCACAGACTTCCTGTCAGCCCGGCGCCCACGATGAGCCCCCGCTTCATGGCGGAGGGAGCCGCGACTCGCGCCGGTGTCCGCGCTGGAGCCGCCGGCCTGGGGCCTGGGGCCTGGGGCCTGAGACTTGGAGGTCGCGTGAGCCTGCGCCGCGCGGTCGGAGGACGGGCCCTGGGCGGTCCCGCCGGCGGCCACCAGGGGGCGCGAGAGGCGCCAGGAGCGGAGCTTCCGCGCGTGCGGAGTTCACGTCCCTTGGAGAACCGGGCGCCGCAGCGCTGGCCGAGCATAGGCGAGGCCGGACCTCCAGGCAGGCTGGGGCCCAGCGTGGGCGCCGCGTCCCCAGGGTCTCAGCTGGGCTCACAGGTGTGGGCCGCCGCCCGGGTTCCGGACGCGAGAGGACAGGGAGAGCGGGGAGGTGGTGTCAATTGCTTAACCTCCCTGACATCAATTTCTGCAATACCCCGTCCAGAACTGTTTAAAGACAGTTGATGCACCAGAAGGCTGTTATAGGTCACTAAGTAATAAGCCCTGTGGCCGAACACATTCCATATGGTCTAAAGGATAGAATAAGAGGTTTCACGCTTATCCAACACTGCTGCCGAATTTCTCAGTGATGCAGGCAAGGAAAACTGAATTACTGAAAAATGATTCAGTTAAACAACTGTGCAAACAAATTATTACCTGAAAAACGCTAGAAAACTTAGGTGTGCTCCTAAAGTTGGCAGTGAAAGCCAGTTAAAACTTTTTTAAAATCAGTTTTACTTTATGCTCGCATGAAATTCATCATGATCAAATTGCTAATAGAGCAACATCACAATTGTCTAATCTAGAAGAAAATATGAATGAGCACAATAAGTATAAAATGAATTGCAACTCCAACGTTGCAAAGTATGCGATGCAAAATACAAATAATGACATTTTTATAACATAGAAAAATGAGTTTGTCTTTAGTATGTAAGATCTTAAAGACACAACTAAATGACCAAACCAAAAAGAAAATGTACCAGATCAAATAAGTCTTGAAAAAAAATCCAATAAATATGTTTACTTTTTCTTCATTCATATGTATTCATTCAAATACATATGGCAAATATACAGCAAAGTATGTACTGGTATATTATTAAATAAATGGGTAAATTTTGTGGAGTACAATTTGATAATGCACAAACATACTTTTATTTTGCTTCAGAGGTATTGCTTGTTTTTTAAAAAAATTTAAAATTACTATGAAGGTTTTTATCATCATATGTATGACCGTTTTTGTTAGGAAGAAAGTCTAATATACTAGACAAAAGTTAATAATCTATCGACTTCAAGTTGTTTGAAGTATAGTTTATTTCTCCGAAATTAAATTAAATGTAATTCACAGTAGTAGAATACCTTAAATCTCAAAGTTGTCTAACTGAAAGACATTTGAGGTAATCTGTTCTTTTTTTTTTCAAAGTTTTATTGATAAACAGCAATGAGACAGTTTCAAATCCAATCAGAAGTACAGTTTCAACAAATAACACACTGTATATATTCTTCTTAGTGGTTAATTGCTGTACAAGAAGTGGACTT